ATTCTTTCACACTGGAGATGGGACCAGTGACTTTCAGCAAAAAAGAATGTGCTCCAGTATCTTTGACATTACAGATAGCATCCTAGACATTACAGATAGCTCAGAGATGGGACCAGTGGCTTTCAGCAAAAAAGAATGTGCTCTACCACTGAGCTATCTGTAATGTCTAGGACAGGGGTGTCAAAGATATGGCCCATGGGCCAGATACGGCCTGCGCAGAGCTGCAATCCGGCCCGAGAGCAGCTGACTCTGTGCTGCTTCCTGCTTGTAACGCTGCAGCTCCTTTTCCCCAGTCTCTCCTAGTTCCTTGCTTCAGAGGAGAGAAAGAAAGCCTTCCCTCCATTAGCGGAGGGTTCCTCACCCCTCCCCCTCTGGGGAGGAAGGGGGGGAATGGCATCTCATGGGACTTTTCAGAAGACCAGCGTTTTATTCCAGATATAAGCAACCTTTTTCGAGGGGGGGGGGAGCCAGCCAGTGAGCACGCGCGAGAGAGAGACTGACTCCTGTGTTTAGACAAAAAAACATTTTATTCCAGGGTTGTTGTTTTTTTTGGGGGGGGGAAGAGTCCTTTTTTTAAAGACCAAAAAAAGTTTTATTCCAGGTTGTTTTGTATGAAATGGCATGTTGGAGGAGAGCTTTATGGATGCCATGGGCCACCAAAAGACCAATAAGTGGGTTCCAGATAAAACCAAGCCTGAATTCTAAAATTCTAGGAACTAGAATGACTGAGATTATCATTTTTGGTCACATCATTAGAAGACAAAACTCACTGGAAAAGACAATAGGAAAAGCTGAAGGCAGCAGAAAAAGAGGAAGACTCAAACTGACATGGATTGACTCAATCAAGGAAGCCATGCCCCTCAGTTTGCAAGACCTGAGCAAGGCGGTGAAGCCAGAGTCTCTGCCTCTATTCACCACCTGCCCTGCTGTTTTGAGGATATACAAGCAAAGGCTTTGTCCTGCTTGCCTAACATGCACACAGCCTCAAGTGACAAAACAGCTCAAGCAACCAGGACCTGTAGCTATACAGAATCCGAAAGCCCTCCTAAAGCCAGCGAGATAGTGTAAGGACTGGAAGAAAGTGGAAATGCAGAATAAAGAAACACCCAGTGTATATAGTTCTTCTCTCTTAAAAATGTAATCTTCACAGGCGAAAACTTGGTCCAGTTCCACTTAAAATAAACTGCTTACAAAGAAACAAATACTGAATTGTGAATTCACCCTAGCTTTTAATCTTTCCCTCCTCCTCTACTGAAACGGCATTCCTATGCGTAAGGTGATCTAATAAGGTCTCTTTCCTGGTTTACTTTTAGGGCACATCCAGATACCAACTTTGCTTAGGAACTCCCCTCTGTTTACCAATATAAAATTTTAAATATGCATTAGCTGCTTGGAGCCTTTAGGATGGAGTGGGATAGGCATCAAATCAGTCTTTTGTGTTAAGACGGGGAGGCTTTAAGTTCTTTAGGCACATTTCCATCTCCAGTATCTTGCATGGCTAGGCGTAAAACATCAGGCTGTGAAGCATTTCTGATCCTGGGAGAAGCGATTGAGGCAGCCCCCCATCTTCTTCAAACCGACACAAAGGCTTCTCATTTCTCTCCTGCCCGGGTGCATCGGAAGCAGATAAGGCATGCATTGGAACGAAAGTAAATGAGGTCTGAATGAGATTACTGAGGATTTCAACAAACTGTGCCCACCAGGATTTTTGGTCATGAGCTACTTATTACTGGGGATTGTGCCACCGGCACAGAAGCGGCACAAGGACACATTGTTAACATAATCACTTTCCCTGGAAGGGACGAACACACACAGCAGGCCCACAACAGAGGCAGCAGCTTTGCCGTAAGATATTGCAAAGAGAGGGTGAAAAATCTCAACACAAAAAAGTGTGTTGTTTTTTTTCCCTTTTGAAACGCAACACCATCTTTCTACCTAGTTTCTGCTGAGAGGAAGAAAATTGGGTCCAGGAGAGAGAAGTCACTGCAGAAATCTGGGGCACTGTCCATTGGGACCTTTTGCAGCAGGGCCTGCTGAAATAAATGGGAAATGTGTGCTAGAGGTGCATTTTAATCATTGCTCCCTCCTCCTCCGAGTTAGAATCGTCCTGTGAGAAAGAAAGGCACTTTGTCTTGCTATTATTTGTTTCTCTCCTTGGTAAAGATGGAGGGAGGAGATGTGCAGGTAAGAGAATACCTCCATTCCAAAGGGTCATGATGTGGTCTTGCATTGAGAGCCAGCACGGTGTCATGGTTAGAGTGATGGACTAGATCTGGGAGACTCAGGTTCAAATCTGCACTGGGCCATGGATGGTTGCTGGATGACCTTGGGACAGTCTCAGCATACACTACCTCACAGGGCTGTTGTGAATATAAAGTGGAAAAGGGATGCTGGACACTGTTTGGGGGAGAAAAACAAGATAGAAATGTAGAGTGCCTCAACGTACAGCCTGTAAGAAGGGAAAGTAGTGCTTATTTACAGTTGTGGAAACCATCTTCTGTAGCAGAATCCAGGGACTCAAAAAAGTAAAAATCGAAGCAAGAGGGCCTTTCTCATGCCACTGACAGCCATGGCAAGCCCCACACAGAGTTTAGAAGACTAAAGTTTTCAGCTTAAAGCTTAAGCTGCAGAAGGCCCCTTTTCAGAAAGAGGCCAAGCACAACAGCCTGCCAAGGCAAACTCTTTTCTCCTAGCCAGATGCAGTTTACACATCATGCTTATTGCACGCTGCTTACAAACAACATTCAAGCACAATGAATCACAAACCAGGAGCTTTGAAGTTCAGGACACAGGCAGCAACCCTGCCGACTGCAGATTCGACACCCCAGCAGAGGCTTCCAAAAGGCTCAGATTCCCTCCCCCTAGACAAGCATAAGCAGACCACTGCATGCCTCCGAATCCGATCCCTCATTTGTGCCCCCTCTCACATCAGGACCAGTTACCATATTTACCTGAAGGAAAGATGACACCCACCACCACCACAAAATACAAGGTTTTTTTTTAATTACTGTACCTTCTAGTAACTTATATGTGAATATAAGACAGACCCCTAAGGTTGTTTTTGACAGCACACCTGGGAGGGGGGAAAGCCCGGGTCTTCCTTCAGGGTGAATACAGGACTTGTGTACCAGAGTGTGATTAGTTTACAATGAGCAAAGGCAAAATAATTTGGTGGGAATACAGGAGGCATGCACAAAAGAACTCCCACGGTCCTAGCAGCTGGCTGACTACCTGCAAGGGCACAGGCATAGTGGGAAATGGCTCTGCTGGGGATCGTCCATGTGGAGGCACCAGGTCTTCAGTGGACGGAGTTGCGCCTATTATGCTTACCTCTGAAGAGAGGGGAGATTGATTTTCCAATTAAACAACAACAACAACAACCCTATTTACAATTCCTAAACAAATGTTATGGTAATCCCCTAAAGTGTAGTGAAATATTTACTGGGCAGTGAAAGGAAGGAACAATGGCTATCTAACCTCTACAACGGCAAGAGACTTATTACCAAAAATATGTTGCAGTTCTTTTAAGTCACTCAAAGAGAAACGGCTCGAGGGATGCAGTGTGTGATATGACCTCATTTAATAATGAAAAATGGTGAAAGCGGCCTCCGGCACTTAGCCGGGGACAGCAACGATGAGTGTTATTCACCTGATGCTTCTGAGCTGGAATGCTAAGGCATACCAGAAGACTGCTGACCCTTTACAAATGTCTGTCCTCTGTAAGGTGCAGTAGGGAA